ACCGAGACCGGCTATTAAAGGTCAAGCTCTTGCGGATTTCTTGGTTGAGTGCACCGCCCGGGATACCCGGCCTCCTGAGGTTGCGGATCCCGAGGCTGAGTGGTGGTCGCTGGCTACAGATGGGTCGAGTAATGCAAGACCGGGCCAAAAGGCTATGAGGTCAAGCATTAAGGTTCGGCTTGCGCGTGAGTAAAGTAAAAAGCAAGAAGAAAGACGAGCAGTAGGAGTTCGACAAAAAAAAGAGAGAAGAAGTTTCATTGATGTAATGGAGTGCCCGGTACAAATCGGGACCGGGCTCCCGATCAATGGTCCTTTACAAAAAAGAAGAAGAAGAAAGGAGCCTATTCTACTTCTTCGTCTCCCGAGCTCCGGCAGCCGGTTCCTTTCCGCTCGGGGTGGCCGCTGAGGTTCCACCGGGCTCAGCCGCTCTTTCCTTCGGAGCGAAGGGAGAGGGGCCAGGATCAGCTAGGTCGGGAGGAAGGGCGGATAGTACGAGCTGGAGGTCGTCGCCTTCGAGGGCTTCCCCCAGCCGTTTTTGGGCCTTTTCGAGCATCTTCCTTTGGCCGGCCTTGAAGGCCCACCGACTGAAGGAGAGAATCAGGTCCTCCCCGACCTTGGTCCTCCGAGCAGCTGTGAGGAAGGCCGAGCCGATCTGGTCGTCCTTGAAGGCCGAGTGGGCCAGCTCCTCCGGGCTCTCCAGCCGGGTCTTCAGCTCCTTGTTCTCGCCGATAGCCCGCTGGGCGACCTTCTCCGCGAGGGCCCGGTCCTCCTCGCTCTTCTTCAAGGCCTTCTGGACCTTCTCGAGCTCAGCTTGGAGCTCTTTAACCTCCAGAAGGCGACGGGCGGCCGTCTTCTTGTGGTGATCAGCCTCCTCGGCCAGCATAGCTCGGCCCTGAAGGAGTTGGGCCGCTCGGGAGATCTGCGAAGGCAAAAATAGACGGGTTAGCCCGATTGAAAGCACTTGCACGAAAAGTGAAGGAGGGATAGTTAAAGAAGGCTTACCTCTGCTAGGTCGTAGCCGATCCTCTCGGCTACCTGGGTCGGGGTCTTCTTCCCCAGATCTTCCTTGGCCCGCCCCGCATTGCCAATGCGGGCCAAGATGGACGAGCCGTCCCTTTCTCGCCCGACCGAAGGGCTCGGGCTTCGTTGCTCGCGGCGGCGCTTCATGCCGCCCACCTCCTTCACGCCCTGCTCGGGCACCTTCTCCTTTCCCCGGGCGACTTCCACCCGGGTGACCAGGACGTCGGAGGGCTCGACGATGAAGCCTTCGCCCGTCGTCACGGTCGAGGCGCTTAATGGTCGGGCCAAGGGGATCTCCTTCTCCCCGGCCGGCTTCGCCTTGGCCTTCTTCTTGCCGCCAAGGGAGATCTTGGCGGGCGGGGGAAGGGGGGCCTCTTCTTCACCGAAGTCTGCCATAGCTGCAAAACAAAGAGATCGTTAGTGAGATCGAGGCATAAAGATGAGTCGGGAGGGTTAGCTCGAGTTAAACCTTTCTTCGTTCGCCTCGCGGGTTTGGCGACCGTCACGCCCATCGGCACGGGCAGATACTTCTCCTGCAGCTCGTATGTGGGGGGCGGGAGTTGAGCCGCCTCGAGACTTTCAGCCGTCCGGAAGATTGTGTATTCGTGCAGCTCGCTCGAAATCCGGCTGACCGTTTCCCTCAGCGCTTGCGTCTCGACCGGCACCACTTGTTTCCGAAAGTGGGTGCTCCAAGCGCGATCAACCGGGAGGATCCAGGGGTCGTATTTGAGGGAGAAGATCCTATTCTTCCACCCCCTGTTGTTCCCGGGCAGGCCTTTGATTGCGCACATATCGGCCCGGGATTGCAACATCAGGAACCCGCCTCCATAGTTGCCCGGGAGAACTTTGACCTGGTAGATGAAGTTGAACAGCTCCATCGTGCAGGCGGCGTCATGCCGAGCGCATATCTGCGGAAAGCAGGCGAGGATCCGGTGCGCATTGGGGCAAATCTGGGCCGGGACGACTCGGTAGTAGGCCAAGAAAGCGTTCAGGAGGGGGGTGAAGGGAATGGCGATCGGGGCCATCAGGGAGTCGTAGTGCATCCCGATCCATTTGCCCCGATGCCGGTCGATAACGTTCCCCAGCTGCCGGCTCGTGTTAAACTCTACCCGACCCACGAGCCTTTCGGCAATCCTAGCCGCCTCGCCCTTGGTTAGCTGACTCATTTGTTGTTCGACATTCTCGCTGTTCAAGAATTCGAACTCTGCTACGGCTGGGGCGGCTGGCCCGGCCGTGTCCTCTTCGGCCGGCTCGGGAGCAGGACTCGGGTGGTCCCCAACCACCCGGGTGGGCGTTTCCCTAACGCCTTCGGTCGGGGATCCTTGTCTCCCCGACGTGGTTCCTTCTTCTTCTTCTTCGTCGGAGCTCCCCGATCCGCTTGAGCTAGAGCTCGACGACCCGGAAGAGCTGGACGACGTGTCTTGTGCGGCGGCCTGCTCGGGAGCTGGCCCCGGTCGGCTGGTAGCTTCGGGGGAGTAGGACATGATGTCCACCTCCTCGTCGCTGAGGTGCTCGACCTCCTCGTCGTAATCCGCGATCGATGCGTTTTGGCTGTCAGAGTCCGTCATTTCGATCTACCTAAAGGTCGGTCGGGGTTAGTGAAGGACTTAAAGTGTCCGGGACAGTTAGTTGACCTAGCAGTTCTACCTAGCATAGAAGTGTAAAGAAAGGAGAAGGGCTAGAAGCTTACCGAGTGAAGAAACTTGGAAGTGGATTTGAGCTTTTGCTTTGCTTGGTCGGATTGCCGATCTGCTGCTCGGGACTCTCTGAGGGTTCCGATTGCTTCAGAAGATTGAGGAAAGTTCAAATGGGGGCCTCAAGGGCCTATTTATAGGAGGGCATTTAGGCGGGAAAGTTGTCCACTTGCGCGACACGACCCGCGCTGATTCCGAGGCAAGGGTTGCAGTCGCAGAGGCCGGCAGTGGCCGACACGTGGCGGAGAAGGGAATGACAGCTGGCCGGTCGGTTTAGCGGCCGATGGTTGGGCTTCTGCATCCCGGCCCATTTTTTCCCGGACAATAAAAAAGGCCCGGGCTGGGGGGCTCTTGGTAGGGAATATCCCGACCGACCTAGCTTCACCACGACCGAGAGGCCTTTGTCTTTTTCTCTTTGCCTTTGCAGGTAGCAGGTCGGGCTCCTTGAGAAGAACCCGGTCGGGTGCCGACCGGGAGTTGCCCGAGCAACGGTGTCGACTGCCGAGCGGTAGCCCTTTGGCAAGAGAGCTGACGAAAGACACGTGGCGGTTCTCTGCGACGACAGACAGGGCACCCGGGAGGGCGACACGTGGTGGTTACGTGGAGGACATGCCGAACGGCTGGAATCCTGTCCCCGGCATAGCGGCTATAAATACCCACAGTAGCTACAGTGTAAGGGACTTTTGGACGATCGATAGGTTGTTGTTAGAGAATCCCGACCGCAATCAGTCGGTACTCAGAGCAACCACGTAGATTGTACTTAGGGCCTTTACCGTGATCAATAAGTATATTTACTTGCTTTAATTGGTCCCGTGTTGTTATATATTGCTTACGTAGAATTAGCAGTATCAGTTGATTAAGTTAGCTGATTGTGTTAGCTGGTTTGATCCGCTGATAGTATTAGATGGCTGTAAAAAACGTTTGCTAAATTAACCGTTTACTTTTAGCTGATTATATATAAAATGATCGACCTATAATGGCATAAAAGTATTGGGCTAATTTATTAAATGAGTTAATTCCAGGAATGGTCCATTGATTGTCATTTACCAATTTTTGTTCTTCGATTTGCAATTGGACCATAAATGGTCTCTTGACTATTTGTCTTTACCAATTTTTGTACTCGACTTTCAATTTAACTATATGTGGTCACTTGATTATTGATTTTTTTTTTCAAATTTGGTCCTCTAGTTAAATATCATTTTAATAAACATTAAATTTAAGGGTAATAATGTAAAAAATTTAGTTCTTCACAATGATGAACTCAATGTATTAAATTTATGAACTCAATTTGTCCATCTCAACAAGCTAATTTTTATATTATTATTCTTAAATTCAATGTTTATTAAATGAATATTTAATTGAAGGACTAAATTTGGAACAAAATCAATAGTTAATTGACCATTTATGATTATATTGAAAGTCGAGGACGAAAATTGGTAAAGATCAATAATAGTCCGTGGACTATTTGTGGTTCAGATGAAAGTCAAAAGATAAATATTGGTAAATGTCAATAGTCAAGGGACCATTCCTGAAATTAACTTTTCATTAACTCTTAAATTATTTTTAAAATTTTTATTTATTTATTTATTTATTACTCTGTAATTATTATTATTATTATTATTATTATTATTATTATTATTATTATTATTATTATTAGGATGAGTGAAATTAAAAAGAAAGAAAAACATTATTGTTGTTGTTATGGAAACAGAAAGGAAAATGGGCAAGAGATAGATGAACAACAACAGATATAAATGTTAGGGATCACAAGGCTAAAATATAATTAATGTCAATCAATTAACTAAAAATTTTAATTTTCTTAGTCTTTTAGATTTTGATCTTATTGTCACAATAAGCTAATGTAATAAATCATTTAACACCACTTAAAAGTAGCACATGATCAATAAAATAAGCCAAAATTGACTTATAACCTATTTTACTAAACATAGACTTTTTCTTTCATTTTTTTTTTTCAAATTTAATAGTTGAAAATTTCTTCCATTGATAGAGGTCCGTTTTTAACCAATAGAAACACTACTAAATTACTTTGGCATTTATTACAAACTCGGTCAGCCTGCAAAACGCGGAATCCTCAGTAAATATATATACGATTTGACCATTTCGTATGGCGATGTAAATAAAACAACCTTTATTACACTATTAATCTCTTCGACAAACCCAACAATAATAATACCTCGATCTTGTCTAAAGATGTTTCATACAATGATTCACACGCAACTGGTATTTGGTATATATACACACACCAAGGACTTCACTTCCTCACACCTTGCATGCCAAGAAAAAAAAACAACTAAGAAAGAGAGGAAATTCTTAATTTCAATCAAATGGCTTCCAAAATTATAATCTCCTGTATCCTCGTTCTCAGGATTTTCACTCTCATGATTTTAGCAGCTTCCATTGCACTCACAGTCACCAACAACTTCAAGGCAGCCGGCACTAAAGTCAAATTTAGCGACTGCAAAAGTTACTGGTATATTGTGTTTGTTTTGACGTGTTTGGTAAATAGCTGTTACCGGGTAGCTGATTGAATTAGGAGATTTAACTAGTTAGCATTAACTGATTGTAGAAAAATATTTGGTAAATTAGTTGTAAGTTGATAGCTAATTACATGTAAAATGATTTTTTCAAAATGCAGGTCGAAAAAATTGATTTGAGAAACTTTTTGAAAATTAACATTTCGGAGCAATAAGTTATTACAAAAAGATAATCAATCAAACACTTATATTGAATGTTTAACAAAGCCAAACAACTAATAGTTGTTAAATAAGTTAAAATTAGCTGATAAGCTAACTATGTTACCAACAAGGCGTTTAATTTTTATTTATTTATTTTTATAAGTACATCAAAAGTTATAGATATAGTGATAATTAATACTCAATTTAGTCTTCGATTATAATAATTTTTCTCAATTTAGTTCTACACGAATTTTTGTGCTTTATGAAGCCATCAATTTTGATGGTTTTTACCTGATTAAGTCATTGACGGTTTAGAATCAAGGACTAAAGCGAGAAAAATCACTATAGTCGATAACTAAATTAGGTAAAATCGCTATAGTCGTAGATTAACTTGGGTAAAACTACTATAGTCGATGACAAAATTAAGTATTAAATATTAATAGAGGTGAAATTACCAAGCTATCTTAACAGAGAACTCAATTAGGTAAAACCATCAAAGTCGATGACCTAAATAATTAAGTACAAAAAGTCGTTTAGGGCTAAATCAAGAAAAATCACTATAGTCATTGACTAAATTAGATAAAATCACTATAGTCAAAGACTAACTTGGGTAAAACTACTATATTTGAGGACAAATTAAAAGTAAGCATTAATAGAGGTTATATATTACCAAACTATCTTAATAGATGACTCAATTAGGCAAAACCATCAAAATCAATGACCTAATTAATTAAGCACGTACAAAAAATCGTTTAGGGCTAAATCGAACAAAATTACTATAGTCAAGAACTAAAGTATTAACTTGATATACCAGACATCAAAATGACAAGTTATAATGATCTCTATTTGTAAAATTTGCAGGTATATACTTGCTGTGGGAGCGGCGGGTGCTCTCTACACGTTAATTCAGTTGCCCTTTGCCATGTATCATGTCGTTAAGGAGAAGAGGATGATCCGGGGCAAATTTCTGCCTAATTTTGATTTCTATGGGGACAAGGTTATGGATTTTATATTTATTATTTAAACTAATTTATAAAATCTAAAAATAAAAACAAATCGTTTTTTATTATGAAGTATTTATTTTCAATTTATACACAACGCGATTACATATTTTGGTAATCTGATTTATTACGTTTTCTTATATTTACAGGTAATAAGTTTTCTCTTGGCGAGTGGAGTTGGTGTTGGATTTAGTGCGAGTGTTGAGTTAAAAGATACTATTAATTCTTTGATGGACACTTTTGAATTTCTATTGGCTAACGAGAATCTTATAAGCCTTGATGTAATGGAAGAATTTAGAACAAAATTGAATAAGTTTTTTGATAGAGAGATAATAGCAATTGGCATTCTCGTGGGAGGATTTGCTACTATGGCTATTCTCTCCATTCTTTCATCACTTAACAAGTCTGGGAAAAGCTTCTGAAATGTTCAAACTGTACCAAATAATTCTAAATAATTAAATCCCGGCCCATTTGTATGCCATTATATTATTCTTGATGATATCATTTCCTAATAAAGGTTTAGGAAAGTTTCCTATTGTACATGTTCAATATGTTTGGATGAATGCAAGTGGAATGAATCATTTACAGCTCACCCAATCTTGGAAATCTTGAAAGAAAATATTGCTAACTCCAATTTTGACTAGTATTGAATTTGATTAGGTTTATATGGAATTGTTGGAGCACAATTTCTTCCAAAACGTTGAATCACCAACTCGATAAAGCATTTGACTTAATAACTCTGCCATCGAGGTTTAAACATTGGTCCCTTCTTTCAAATATTACTTACTAAACCATTAAACTAAGTCCGACGGACTATTGGAACACAACTTGAAGTAATGAAATATTGAAGTATGACTGTCCAACATACAACATAAATATTAATAGTAATTGATATTAATCTTTTTTTTTTTTGAATGCTACTAGCTCTATTACAATGTAGTATCTGTTCATATACTTTCCACTGAGGCTCGAAATCACAATCTTCCAAATGGAAGTCCAACCCGGATACCATTAGACCACATAGTCCTGGTGTAATTGATATTAATCTAATATCACTAAAATACAATATTGTTTAATATGTACTTTGGAGTCATGAAATAAGCACTCCAGTGTTTGGTGGTTGACGAATGTTTGTTGATATTCCCTGGACAAATAACAAAGCATCAACCGGAGCCTTATAGAACTTTTCCTTGTTTAGGGAATAGATCAGAGGAAGTGACAGAATTTGACTTCATTACTAAACAATAAAGAGAAAGTTGAGAAATAGTAGAGAATAATTAAAAGTATGTAATGGTAGACAATCAGTTAGTCCGTGATCCTTTTATATTCAGTGAATTATATATGGTGATCATATTTAATTTTGAGTGATTTATTAATATTCGATCCATTTTTCAATTGGTCTAATTTGTTTTCCATCTTTAAGCAAAATCTTCTTTATAAGTTCTATATATAATTACACATCTTTATATATACGTATTGCAATGAGGTCCCATAATTTTGAATAATGATAAAAAAAGTGTTACAAAATCAGTCATAATTGATTTCTTTTCCATCTTTAATTATACATTTTCCTTATAAATTGTATTGTGTATACTAAACGATTCTATTGCATTTTCCATTTCTAAATATATATCTTTACATAACTATATTTCCAGTAACACACACACACACACACACACACACACACACACACACACACACACACACACACACACACACACACACACATATATATATATATATATATATATATATATATATATATATATGAGAGATTGATTATATTGTCACTAAAATAAATATTTGCAATGCAACTTTGTAATAACGATATTCTAAATACTTAGTCTAAAAACGGTAGTCTAAATAAATACTACTTTTGGTTTAAATTTCTCTAATTCTTCTTGATTCTCTTTTGGGTAGCATTGTCATTGTCTTAATCTTCAGTACATGTCCTTTTTTTTTTTTTTATTGGTAGTGTGTCATGTGCAATTGGGTTACTGGTGGTAGCATAAATGAATTCATCGTGCAATGAGATTATGGTGTAGGAAAGTTTAGATTTGCCTTATTGTGTATATGATGTGATCTTAGTTATACTATTAACTCTTTAGCTTACAATCACCTATTGATATTTTGTAGTGGTAGTTTTTCCCCTATATGTTTCATGCGTTGTGAGATTGTGTTGTAGGTTATCATGTGAAAGTATTGAACAAAATATTAATATTTATTATATTTGTATAAAATACTTGGTAAATAAATATATATATATATATATAACATATTTTGTATTATAACTTTGACATTTAATTACAAGATAATGTAAAAAGAGGACAATGGACAATGTAGTGAATATAATAAATTAATAAATTTGAAGGTAATGAATCTTTGAATTGTAGAAATAAAGATAATATAATTAATGAAATTATATATCTTTTTAAATTTTTTATAATGAATTATGTTTTTTTAAATAAAGACATTATAGACATCTAATTCTAAATTAATTAAATGTATATGTATTATTTTTTGTTGTAACTACTAATTTATTTAATTTAATAAGAGTAATAAAGTTGCGTACGTACTTTTCATCAACAATTATAAAATCATTGATTTTCTTTTAATTTACATTCGTTGTTGAGACAAATTGTTTTGAGAGTTTGTCAATGACAATTATTACAATTCCTGTAAATAGAGAATGATAATAAATAATTCAAAATATATAATTACAATATATATTGTTATAATGATATAGTAAAAATTTACTTACAAAATTTCTTTAGAAGTTTTCATGCATTGATAAAATTATGATATGTAAACTTGTTCAATTGGAGCCAGTGGGATTTCAACATTGTCAATTATTTGAAAAATGGTCCTACCGTTTTAGAGTCTAGGTGTAATTGTATTTATGATCAACAACTTTGTAGTTAGGTCGCGCAGGTCTGACAATAATGATGTAAGAACAATTTGTCCGATAAAAAAATAATAGTATAATAATTGTAAAGTAATGTACAATTGTATCATTATAAAAATACATACAAAAAATATTAATACCATAATTTCCTAAATCATACCAATAATGCAAAAGTATAATTGAAATATTAAGTTTTGTTTTGATCTAAATAATCAAAAGAAGATTAATTAAACGAGAAAAAAAAAAACTTAACCTAAATTTGTTTGTTTTTTTTTTTTTTAAATGCATAAAAATCAAATGATTTTTAAAGTTCTTGATTTATAATCTTTGATGCTTAACTTTGAATGTTATGTATTTAGTCGGACTAATTATTTGACCAAAGTTTATGTTAAATTTTATATTATATATATTTTTAATACATTTTAACATATTCGTAGTATATGTTTATCAATTATGCCAACTCTAATTGTGATGAGGTTCGAACCTAAGACTTTTCTTATAGAAATTAATAAGTAAGTTAAAAATAATAAATAATATTTTTTTGTTCCAAATAAAGGCCTAACATTATTGACTCTTATTAGAATTGTAGATGTAGATAATCGATTTTAAAATTCTTTCCATCTCGCATAATATTAGAACTTTATATTAAAATTTTAGATTTATTTAGATAAATAATATAATATAAATTTTATATTCTATTTTTTTTAATACAAGGGAAGGGTGGAACCCCTGGAAACAAAACAAATCAGTCCCCGCGAACAAAAGGAACGCCTAAACTATCCTTTCGGACATACTCCGCGAGTTCGTCATTTGGGCAAAAAAACATCATGGCCAACTCGTGATCCGGAGCACAATTCTTCGCAAGCCAGTCCGCCAGCTGATTTTATTCCCGCAAAATGTGACAGCATTTAACATTCCAGTTTTTCATTAACCAAGCTTTGCATTCAAAAATAATATTGCAAAGAGTTCCACCACCTTTAGCGTCAAAAGGAGGGCCATTTATATAATTGACCACGTTGACGGAATCGCATTGGATCATGATATTAGAATAAGCCAGTCTTCAAGCAACCTTGAGACCAGTAAGGATTCTGTTGAGAACAAAACCATTCTATGATGAATTTTTATGATATATATTGAAGTATGAATATCCAACATACAACATATAACATCCTATATATATAATAAAGCTATATGGTCTTGTGAAAATTAAATGGTGATAATCAACATTTAATTTTCACAAGACCATAATAATATTGTTATTGTGAAAATTAAATGTTGATAATCAATATTTAATTTTCACAAAACCATAATAATATTGTTAATTATAATAACAATACTAATAATAATAATAATAATAATAATTATTGCAATAATAATAATAATGATAATAATTTCCACGGACAGTTTCTAATATATATATATATATATATATATATATATATATATTTATTTATTTATTTATTTATTTATATTTCAATTTCTACTGGCAAATTATTGTGTGAACGATGGTCCACATAATTGTATGGATCATGAATATCAAATACATTTTTAATATATTAAAAATACATTATTTTTATATTGAAAGTACCTTACATACATATATAATGTACCCTTAGTATATTTAAAATATACTTTTTATTGCATGCAACCCCAAAGTTCATAAGTTTGAAATTAATATATGGCATAGCTAGGCGGCCTAATATTTAAGATTGTTGATGTGCATATTGAGAACTACGGAGACAAAGATGCGTTATTCGTGGATTCATCGGATACTATCCAACAACACTCTCCAACTTAATTGACGTGAAGTGGCTTAGTAACATTAAGATTATATTCTCGAATTATTAGTTCTCATCTTTTATTGATTACACACTTAATTCGATAGTATTTGAAAAAAAAAATCAATGTTCGAACTAAGATTGTGATTTTGGTCTTTAAATGTCAATTGTATGTTGCTACATCTAGAGTTAGAAATCTCAAAGGTCTAAAAAATTTGATCCGTGGTGATTTTAAAATTGTAATTCAATTACTATTGTAGTTTACTAAGTTCTTAAAAATTTGTAATATTAAATACTATGTACTAAAATTTTAGTATAGTTTAAGATTTGTAGTAATCACCCACCTCAAATATTATTTTAATTGTAAATATATTTATGTTCATAATTTTATTATAGGAATTCACACATAATAATTATCAATAACAAAAATTTTATATATGAATAAACCTCATATAGAGTATATTTTTATAACATATTTTCAGTGCATCGCACGGGACAAATACTAGTAAATATTAATAGTAATTGATATTAATCTAATATCACTAAAATACAATGCTGTTTTTTAAAAAAAAAAAAAATCTAAAATTGCAATATGTACTTTGGAGTCATGAAATAAGCACTACAGTGTTTGGTGGTTGATGGCTGTGTGTTGATATTCTCTGGACAAATAACAACGCATCAACCGGAGCCCTATAGAACTTTTCATTGTCTTGGGAGATAGATAAGAGGCAATGACAAAATTTGACTCCATTTCTAAAC